AGCTACAACTCGTCCAAGAAACAAGTTAGATGAACCGATTATGGCATATCTTTCATTTTGGTTAAAAGTCAGCATATTTCTTGTTTCACTTAGTGAGACGTCTCTTAATTTTGTTGGCTACTTCGTGCTTTTCCTTCATGCATGTAACTGCAGCAAAGGGAGTGGATGAGGTCAAGTTTTGTACTAGAGTATGATCCTGTAATACTGAGGCTTATTTCGGTTTTCTGGATGCATGTGAATTGTGTGTATGCAATACTCGCAAGTTGGTTGGCAATTTCGGGCCCTAATCAAATTTTCTCTTTTTCTCTAATTTTATCAAGAATCCAGAGATAGTTATGGCTGAGTTTCCTACTCCGTTCCTCTTATTCAGGTTATCCTTTGTTCTCTTTTGATATTAATCGACTCTGATCTTCCGCTTACCTGTGAAGTCGCTGTATCGAGAAAAAAGTTGGCTTTGAGCTTACTCCATCTGGCCTCCTTTAGGGATCATATTTTCGCCACCCCCGATTTGGGAACCCTTAAACTTTTGCAGACGGTTTCGTATGCGGATAGCCTTACAACAACCCGATCTGCGTTGGGCTTGTGAAGATTGTCCAGGAGAAGGCATGTCCGTACATGCTCGTCACGCTCCATTTGCTCAGTAATTCGGTCCTCTTCTTCGAAAGCCAGCAGCACCATAGCACTGGGCACCTTGACGAAGAGTTGTCCAATGGCCTGTTGTCCCAAATACTGCTTTCCTGCCACCCTATTTCCCACTCCTTCAAAGGTGCCGCTCTTTCTTAGCCGCTCTAACCCTCCGTCCTGCTGGTTGACTTCCGTCGGACGTAGACGCCCTATTATCGTTGATTTTATTTCTCAGCATAACTATGCTTCGAGCAGGAATTGAGGAGGAAACACGCATTTTTACGTTTCCCATACACATCTCTACCCAGTTTGTCCCCTCCTTTAGCAATTAGGACGTCTAAAAAGGGCAACTTTCTACCATTTTCCGACTGCATCGCGAATTCCGTCATCTCATCTAATCCACTAATTAACCCAACCAAGTCCTGCAGACTCGTTGCCATGCTGCCAAATAACAAAAAAGTCTTAACTAAAGCTGACTAATAGTTTCGCAGCTAGGAGCTCTTCTAGAAAAAGCCGGACTTCCAAGTGAGCCACGTAATTGTTCGCAAAAACTGGAGACAAGCACAATCAAATGGCCAAACCTCTCGTTTGATCATACCATTTAGCGTTAATTTGATCAATCTCTTGATTGACGCCTTGCTTATCTTTTTTCTCGATATAATCTTCAGGTTTGGGTCCATTGTTAATCAGCAAGCTTCTATGGCCATACCTACCGGTGCGTTCATGTACATCAATACTACATCAAAGCATACAAGCATATCTTGCTATCCTATTACTTACTCATCTATTAATTTAATAAAGTAATAAGAATTCTTTATGGAAAATGGCCAAATACCCTAGATTTTCTAAAAATAACCATAAATAAATCGGGATGTTTTATGCGTCATAATAATCCTAAGTGTGGCCCCTTATTTGTGAATTTTGGGCAGACCATATGCATTAAGAAGCCCGGCACAAAGTTGTAGAGGTGCATTCACTTGGCCACGTCTCCAATTCTCCAATACTAAAGAGCCTAGACAACACAATAAAATTTGTATTGAAAGCAGACCAAGGAGAAGTTGTAGTCATGGCTAGGCCAGATTATATAGAAAAGGTGATGCAGGCTTTATCCAATTGTGATACGCATATAATTATTACTAAAGGACCTACACAAACGGTAAAGTCGCGACTTAAGTGTTGCCCCGAACAATGCGTTATTAGTGGATAATTGAAGAAGCCGAAAATGAATGCATATCTCCAATTCGATGCCAGGCTTCCTAATGCAAATGGGCAACCAAAATTTCGCTAAAAAGAGGCCCCACTTATGGGCATTGTAAACAATAGGGGTTTTATGATGCATAAGTCATTACAATTTATTTACATACAGAATTTCCGTGACTCCATCCGCTACCCTTCCTGCACCAACTTCACTCGTCTACATGCATGTAGGACAAGCACAAAGTAGCTGATTAACTTATAGAATGCCTCATTACGATCAAAAAGTTAACTGAGTAGAATTTCATCCGGTCACGTTATCTTGGTTCAGTGTTTTTTGGTGATCGTTCGTGAATAATGGTTTCTTGCTCTGACGATGTTCGTGACTTGACGGATGGAATCTCGGCACGGATTCATTGATGTCGCCAAGATGTTCTTCGCACAATCCAACGGTCACAAGCCCAAGACAGCCCTACTTCGCTATCCGGTGGTGCTAAGCAAAATCAAAAGTATGTCAGCATCATTCTACTAAGAGAATCCACGAACCCCAGTTAGCTCAATCTTTTGTCTCATCTTTTGCCGAACAGTAATGATATCTCTCATGTTCTTGTATACTAACTATATCCCTTTAATCGAAGAAGACCAAGATGGTGTGGCTACTGCTGGCTTTGTTTAGGTCAATGTTGAACGACAACGTTTGTGAGTTGACACACAAGAGACTAGGGCATGGGAAGTCATAGACTTGGAATTAAAGATAGAAAGAGGATAGAAACCGTGAAAGCTAGAGCTGGTTGACTAACAATAGTCGTGATTCAAGGATCCCTTCTGTGATCAAACACGACCATTTTTAGCCAAATAGCTCTAGTCTCCACCGCGTCTTTCCTATTTCTATCTGTTATGCCATGTCCATCACTTCCTACGTCCTAGTCTGCCAACCCACAAATGTCGTGGTTCTACTTGTTTTGATTAGGCTCACTGAAGACATCTCCTCTTGACTTCTAATTGTTCCTTTCTCATCCCCCTGCTATCTCTTTTTCTAAAATTAAGACCTTTATCTAGTCGTCTTCTTTTTGCTGATCTTGCTGTTGCCCAGTCTTCTCCGAGTTTATTTAGACGATATGTAAAATGTTCGCTGATCATGCCTTCTTCAAGTCTCCTGTTCATTAGATTTCTCTCGGTCAGTATTTCGAGGGTCTCTCGGATCTTGCGTTTTCTCGTATTTTCACCACATGCAGCCAATCTTTCGGTCTATTCCCAGTCCATTTCGTGCCCCGTTCGCGCAATGTGTTCCGCTATTTCGGATCTTTTCGTATCCATGTTCCTGCAGAGTCTTTGATATTCCTTGATTCGTAGGCGGATTTTCCTTCCTGTTTCCCTGATATACTCCCAAGCAATCAAGTTTGTCCGCCTTCTCGGGTTGCGTCGGCAGACCGGTGAAAATTGTTTTCTTCTCCTTTGTTATCACCCTGATCTTTCATTCCCTTAGTAACGATCGCAATTGGTGGCTCATTTGTGATGATAGCAGGCAAATCTATTTTTGGTTGTCATCCTGATTCCTGATCTGATTTTCATAAAATCCAAGTTGAAATCGGCCCTTTATAGTACCTACATTTTTTCCTCTGGGATATCCGTGTCAGTTTGTCCAATTCCTCGTCCCAGAACTCATTGTCCGTTAGTAGTAGGCTTCTGATGATCAAACTCCGATCTTTAGTTTGTAGTTATGATGGGACTGAAAATTAAGGATTATTCATGCATATGAATTCTTTCTGTATAGTCTCCTTATGAGTATCCCCTTGGAGTGTATGACTTCAACATCCAGAAAGGGCAGTTGTTCATCTTCCTCCACCTCCATTGTGAATTTAATTCTTTCATCAAGTTGGTTAATGAAATTTAGGAATTCATTTAAATTTTCTTCACAATGTGACTAAGGGGAAAAGTAGTTCACAAGTATCGCATAAGCACCCTTGGTAGCAGTCGGGACTTCTCGAATTTCCTTATAAACTTGTCCATGTACTTATTTGCCAAAAGAGGTGAGAGTGGAGATCCCATCGGTAGTCCAAATATGTGCTCGTAGATACTGCCGTTAAATGTAAAATATGTCCTCCTTACTGTCAGGTTGACCAGTCGTGTTAACGATTCTTTCCTTATCCGTTTTGTCTCCAGGATGAGTACATCTCACTACACTGATTTACTGGTAGTCACGAAACCCTACTCTTATACTTAAGAGGTGTCCATTTAAGTCTATTTGGTAGGGCCCAATCACACTCCTGGTTGGTATTTTCTTCACTTTCCTGAATTTGACGACAATTATTGGTCTAAACTGGCTTTATCAGTCTGCAGTCTACTCTATCCAATTCCTATTATTATCCCTAGTGCACACGACAATCCAAAGCTCAGCTCCTCGGTTCAGTATTTTTACTTGGCCACTGCAACCGCAACCATAATACTCTAGACCTTATTTTCCAAGGTTTGCTTTAAGCGTTTGCTACCACCTTTGTGTGGTAGGGCTCTGGAGATTTTG